CGTGCGGCGGCGCGGCTGGCACCGGGACAGGGCGCCTGAGCCGGCTTAAGGGCTGGTTTCCCCGGGGGAGTGCGGCGAGGCTGGGACACAGCCGGCCCTTTGTTCCCGGGGCCGAGGGAACGCGTGGGGCCTGCCGAGCACAGCGCTGCGTCTCCTCCCTGGGACAGCCCAACCCACCACACTGGTGAATTCGTGGTGGTCTGGAAGCGCCGTGTTCCCCTTCTTAAATTGGTGCCCTGGGGGTCTTCTGGAAAGTGTGGGACTCCACCTGGGCGTCCCCTGCATGTGGTCGGTGGTCACGGTAGGCGGGTGGGTGGGTGGATTTGGGCCCAGGAGCCGAAAACACAGCCTGCAGGCTGCAGAAGGCAGCAGGGCAGGCCGGGTGCCCGGGGAGCAGGTGTGCAGGAGGGCAAGCAGCACCTGGAAGGCCTTTGGGAGCAGAGCAGCAAACCGTCCTGGGGCAGAAGGCAGGTGGGCAGAGGAGCAGGCGATCTCAGTGGCAGGGCCAGAGACCCCTCAGCAGCTGCAAGTCAGAACGGGACCGAAAAGGTGGGCTGCTCCAGCTGGGACCAGGCCACTGTCAGTCACACTACGAGGTGTCTGCAGCACAAAGCCACCATCCTGCCGGCCACCAGAGAGAGCCCCGGGGCAGACAGAGCTGGAGGAACAGGGTCGGGGAAGAGTTTGCCACATACACGGAGCCTCCAGTGCGGAAATGATCCAACCCAGAAGCTGCGAGGCCGGCAGCCCTACATGGGCGCTTGGTGCCAGGCATTACTGAATAAGGACAAGGAGAAGGACCCAGCCTTTCTGCCCTTTCCCAGCCTGTGGCTCCGCTTCCAGCAGCCTTGCAGCACTCTCAGGTGCCCCTGGATTTACCCTGGCTTGTGGGAGCCCATCCAACCCTCTCCATGAAATACATCCCACCTGCCCCAGGGGGAATGGATGGCTACATAGCACAGCAGGGCACCAAGAGCAGGCAGGACCCCACTCTGCTCCAGGGTCTCTTTCATTTTCTGGAACAAAGCAGCCTGCTTTCATCAGGAAGCAGCTGGCAGCATCCCACCCTCCAGAGACAGAGAACCATCCAAGCTCAGCTTGTTTTCATGGACCTTTTTCTTCTGAATAGGCCAAGAGAAGCAACAGGCAAAGGCAGTCACGTGGATGGCAGTTTAATGAAGAACAAATGAAAACTAGGAACAGGGGGAACATGGTGGGATGAGGAGATGCCAGAAGGGAAAAGATGCAGAAGTAAGAAGTGAGCTGAGATTTTCCATGGATAATGGCCAAAACGCAGGCGTGATCATAGACAAGCAAAGTCGCCTGCTTTCTGTATGCAGAGAAATATGGTAGAAATAGATTAATTTAATTTTCTTTAGAGTTTGGAATATTGAGCATAAGTCACCTTAGAGAAACGTAGAGATTTTACAGGAGGTTTAATTCTGAAATGACCCTGTTGATCTGAACTTGTATTTAGATAGAGTTGCAGATGTGACAAAAATCTGAAGTTTTCAGAAATAAGGCTCTTGAGCTCAGCAGAACCAAATGGAGATGAAGCTATGGGAAGAGCAAACACTTCTCTGTGGCTTGCAAAGGCAGCAACAGAGTCCAGGGCCCCCATTCTCGGCCCCAGGAGATCCCGGGGTGGATGCAGCCAGCAGCGCTGTTCCTCCAGCCGCCCCTTCCCAGCCCCCCACCAGCTGCAGCTCCTGTCTTTGTCTCCCCGCCATTGGCGTGGGGCTAGGATGAGGCTGCCAGGGGGACGGCTGCGTGCGGCCAAGGACAGC